ACCTCATTAATCTGGCGCATCCTTCGCTCCTCCAGGTCCATCTTGGCCTGCAGGAAACCCTCGTGCTCACTGATTTCTCCAGGCATACCAAAGTACACATCCACGCCATCTGTGGGCCTTGGGGTGGGAGTCACTGCCATGCCAGGAATCAGGGGATCAGTCTGAAGCCCATCTCCGGGTCACCTTTTCTACCCAGAGAACTACATTTTCTAGAGTGCACTGAAAACCACCATGTGTGGTTTAGCCATAACTGCTGCCTAACATTATGGGAAATGTAGCTCTGGACTGGGTCCATTCTTGAAAAGCTTAGAAATTCATTATACCATCTGCCAATGTAATATAATCCTCAGGACCTACCAAATGGCTCCTCCACTTCCAGGTACCCCCAAACCACCCTTTTCATTTTTCACAGGCCAGACCTTCCACCTCTACTTTATCCCAAACTGCTCTCATCCCTTCCATTCCCCCAGTCAGATCTCTCCCCCATAGGTCCCTCCCAAAGATGTTCCTACCCTAAGGCTCCCCAAATCATCCTCCCTCCAGGGTGGAGGAAACTAGGGATTCAGAAATGGCCTCACCTTTGCTGACTACTGCAGAGGGATGGGAACTTGAAGGCGGGACTCTTTCCTCCTTGCCTTCCTCTTCAGCCTGTAGGGGCTCCACAAAGTAATCGTCTACCGGCTGTAGGAAGGATTCCTCCTCTTTCTTGTCCTCATCCCCCTCTACTCTGCCCCCCAGGGGCCAGGACCGGGTGGAGGGGTCACTGAGGAATTAGAAGACCCAAGGCAATGAGAACACAGGCCCAGGCTCCTAGGCTTCCACTTCCTGCCTCAGAAGCCTTGGGATGGGCATGGAAGACTCCCTCCCACTCACCCAATTTCTATCCCAGACGGGTCAGGGGTCACTGGAGGGGGGCAGCACACATACTCCACACCTCGGAACCGATCCATGCCACAGGGCAAAAGCATGCCCGAGCCATGCAGGATGAGGCCCTGGGAGCTGCAGGCCTGTGGGAAGAGTGAGTGGGTCCAGATGCCAGAATTGTGAGGTAAGAGAGGGTAAAGGAGGGGCCTGGATTCCTGAGTCTTGAAGGCTGATAGGGCTGGATGGAGCCTGGATTCCTGGTTCTGTCCTGATTGGAAGAGGGGGCTGAGGTCCAGACTCTTGGGTTCTGAAAGAGGAGGGTATTAGGGGACTGGACTCCAGAGTTCTGGGGGGTGAGAATGGATGGGTCAGGGTCCTGACCTCCTGTGCTTCCTGATGTCTCTGGGTTGAACTTTCACACTGGTCCATGCGCTCCTGGTGCAAGAACCGGCAGCCTTCAGGTACCAACAGGGCCTCACTCACGAATTCACCCGCTGGGGAATGGGGGCACCAGAGTGAGACCCTTCCATAGCCGCTAGCCTCACCCTCCTCAGTATCCAGACTTTTTAACATCAGAGGATTCTCCGCACCACTCAGGACCCAGGTATCTAACTCCCTAATGTTAGCCTTTACACCAGGGCCCAGAATCTCTCCCCCCTCAGGGAACCCCACCCTCATTTCCCTCCCCCAGCCTGTGACTCACGCAGGCAGCGGAAAGGCACAACCTGGTGATGAGAGTGGGCACAGTGGCCACCCCGGGCACCCCCGCACCAGCGCTCCATGGGGATGGCCTGTGTTGCCTGTTCCACACGTGCAATCTGCAGCTCCGGGTACATCTGGGGACACCAGGTGGAGTGATCAACCCACTGCCCCGCCCCTACCAGCCGCGCTTCTCTATTGGCCACGTTCCTTTTCAAGGCTCCAGTGTTCATAAGGAATTCTCCTCTTCAGGTCTTGCTTCTCCACAGAACCTGTCTTAGACATCTAAGACCAGTATGACCACTGGCCACACCTCCTAGTAATTCTCCCTTAAAAGCCCCGCCTTCCTTAGGCCCCTCCCCTTTGCCTGGCCAGTTTCTTTATAAAGGTCCCTCCATTATGCCCATAAACTCACTTCTGCCAAGCCCACCGCTCTTCTAGTCACCTTGGCCCCCTTCCCCAATCAGGTTCATTTCTCCATAGGTTCTACCAACTTCTAGGCCTCGCCTCTTTCCCTATTTTGGCTCTCAGTAAGTGTCCCTTCCCTTCCTTTTCATAGCTACACCTCCTAGCTTCCCACTTTCATTGGGCTCCACCGCTTTTCCTATCTTACTAGCCCCTTAGGTCTTTTTGTCAAAGACCCCCCTTTGGCCACGCCCACCTATACACCTACTGTTTAAGGATCCCACCATTTCGCCAGGTGGATACGTTCCTTAGGTTTTTGTGCAAAGTTCTCCTCTTTCCTGACCTAGTTTCTCTCTCTTTTTTTTCTTTCCTTTTTTGTTCTTTTTTTGCTTTGTTTCGTGACCTAGTTTGTCAATAACAGGTCCTGCCCTATTCTAACTTCCCTTCCGGCCACTACCCCAGCTTCCCAGCCTTTTTAGATCCCCGGTTTTCCCGACCTTTTGAAAGTCTAGCTTCTCTAGGACACCTCCCTCGTATCTTGGACTAGCTTTCACGACCCTCCCAGTAGGTCCCGCCCACCTGTCTGCAGTACTCGAGCACGCGTTGCTGGTCCCGGAGACAGCGTCGTGAGCGCTGTGCGTCTGGTTCCCAGCGGCCAGTGCGCAGGTCCCGATGAAGGGTTAGGCGCCCGCATAGTCCAGCCACCTGTGCCGACCCCGGGGCCTGCGTGTGTGGGCGAAAGGGTCAGTGAGGGCCAGAGGAACGTTGGTAGGCTGATCCCTCGATGCTATGCTCCCTAGGACCCAGATGTTAAACCCCAGAACCAGCCCCCTCCACCTAATACAGCGCACCCGCCTCGGTAGAGGTACGGTTTCCTGGGATACAGCTCCTACTGGGCCAGGTGCCCCAGCTCCCCTGTTGCTATAGCGACTCGAGTCCCCCAGGATTCTCGCAGCCTTTCTGTGGCGAAGACAAGCTCCACCTGCACCCTGGCGCAGCCGCACTTGAGCTGGAAAGGGTTAAACCTTAATCGCTGGGGAGGAGGTCAGAACCTTAGCGTTCTGCCCCTCCTCCCTCCATCTCTAGCTTTGACTCCCATTCTTAGATGCAAAGATGACAGACATGGCCTGGCTCCAGGGCCCTGCAGGCCTGGACACTAAGACCCTTGAGGGCTGGAGAGCTATCTCCCGAGTCAGGGGAGCGGTGGCTGGAAGCCTAGACTCCTGGGTCATAGGAGGCTGCGGGGCCCTCATATGGGTCCGGAGGATGCAAAGGGACCCCGGTTCTTGGATCTAAATGTCTTACTGCTTGGTGGGTGTTATGTTCAGGTGGGAAGGGGCTGGGGCTGAGTCACTTAGGTCATGAGGGTCTGAGGGCGGCAGGAGGAGGCTAGGACGACACATGCTGGGAAGCTGGGGCCTAGACTCCTGGGTTCGTGAATGCCTCGTTGTTAGGGGCGCCTGGGAGCCGGCCACCTGGATGGAAAGACTGCGCTTTCAGCTCTAGACATGTCCGCATCAGGGTCCGGAGGCCGGGTCCCGCCCCTTCCCCCATCCCCAAGGACCCGGCCGGGCCTCACCTCCGCCGCGTCTTGGCTCCCACCGGCCAGGCTCCCGGCGAGCTGCGCGCGCAGAAGCAGCAGCAATAGTGGCAGCAGCAGCAGCAGTGGCGGCAGGCCCCGGCGGCAGCCCAGACTTCGAGTGGCGGGGCTGACCTGCCCCATGACTGGGTTCTCGCGCCCTCACGTCCCCTACACTCCCGCCCTGCCCTGCCCTGCCCCAGTGGTGACAGAAGCTCCCAGCGCCACCACCGCCGCCTCCTCCTCCTCCCACCGCCCCACGGCTGCGCTGGCGCCGCCAGCCCCGCCCCACGCCGGCCCCGCCTTCCCAGCGAGGACAATAGCTTGGCAGCTCTGCGCAATGGGTAGCAGGTCCAGAACTCCCCTGTGGGAGATGGCATCAAGCCCCGCCCTCCTAAGGTTCCAGATGTCCCACCCAGTGCAAGGACCTACCCAGGAGTGTAGATCTTGAGCCCTGCTGTTATGGATTTTGTGTCCTCCCTTGGACCCAGAAAACTCATAGATCAGCTTCCTTCTCTTCCAGGGATTGTCAGCATTGGAGAACCACCCCCCATGCCCCCCGCCCAGACAAATTCTTCTCTTGAGTTGCCAAGAATACAGGCCTCCAAAATTTCCCCAATCAAGAACGCAGCAATTGCGACCCAGTCCTCTTCTTTCTCAGGTCTAGGAAGTCTGAGCCCAGACTCTCAAGAACAGAGACAAAGCTCTCAGCCCTTTCCCCCTAAGACCTAAGAGTCCCAGGCCTCCTACTCTGCTTCTCAAAGGTCTCAGGTGCCTGGAACTTTAATTCCTAGCTCAAGGATCCATGATACAAAGTGCCCAGCCCCTCCCCCACTTTTCTTTTTAAATTTTCTTTTATTTATTGATTTTAGAGAGAAAGGACGAGGAGGAGAGAGAGAAACATCGATTTGCTGTTCCACTTATGTGTGCATTCATTGGTTGATTCCTGTATGTGCCCTGACTGGGGGTCACACGCACAACCTTGGAGTTTCCAGACAACACTCCAACCACAGAACTACCCATTAGGGATCCCAGGCCCTCCCCTCTTTTTTTCAAAATTTCATTTTTATTGTATTTTCCATGACCATTTATCCCCCTTAGACCCTCTCCCACCTCTCCCCACCCCCTCCCTCCCAAACCCCTTTCTAAATGATGACCCAAGTCAGGTACCCAGCACCTCAGGACAAGGGTCTAGACCTCCATCTTTGCTCAAAGGACCAGGGAATTTCTATTTCCCCACCCCTAGTCTCTCTCTATTATGTGTGTGCATCCGTGCATGTATGTTTGTGTAGATATATATCAAAATAGCCTGGAGTGCTAAATGGAAAACCAGGGACTTGGGGGAGCCCCTGGTTTTGCTCCTACAGCCATTTCATAGCCTAGGGTAGAGGAAGGGCCTTGGGGGAGGCTTGATGGATCCCTTTCTTGACAGAGGGTAATAACGCCAAGAGAATCCTGAACACAACTTTTAATTTTTAAAACTGAACATATCTTCTTATCCTCAGGTTCCATCCCCACCCCCTCCAGTGACAGATCTCACCCTGTCCTTACTCCTTGGACCCAATTCTTCCAAGGCCTTTAAGGAAGGTGGAAGGAATCAAGGTGGTAGCTATCTTGGGTTCCCAAGGAGTGACCTGCTATCTTGGCTTCACTTCCATTGGCCAAGCAAAGTGCACCTCAGGGAAAGCCAGGACAGGACCTGGTCTGGCCTCCATCTTAATCTGCCCTATGTTACTTTTTTTCTTATGCAAATATCTTCTTTCAGTGTCTGCCTACAACTTGCCTCTAATTCCCATTGTAACCTGTCTCTATTCCTCTTTAAAGGGGCCATTTGGCATCTTGAATCTCTTTTACACAGGGGAATAGGTGGACATAGTGGCCATCTTGCCCCACTTGGGGCATCCCCTTTGGCTGAGCAAACTGTCATCAATGACCCAGGCAATAGTAATGATCTATCCCTCCCCTCAATATTTAGTTCTGAAGGAGTAAGGTCACTAACTTGTTCTGGTTGTTCAGAAATCAGGACAATCTATTATGACAAGTTATCCCAACATTTTGTCTTTTGTCTATTATCCCAACATTTCAGTTGGAGAGATGTCACACATGAGTCTGGAGACGCAAGTGGCTAGGTGTGGGGAAGGCAGCATATGGGAAAGGAGGAGTCCCGGGGGCCAGATCTGGGGGCCCAAAGGATGTGGGTTTGATGTAGCTGGTAAAAGCTTGAGAATGGGGTGTGGTGAGATAACCTGCCTGGGCTCTATACAGTTTGCAGTGGGGAGGCATGTCCAGGTGTGAATTGAAGTCATAGAAAGGAGGTGTACCCAGAAGTCCAAGGGGGGAGGGTGGTGGCAGGAAGAGGCCTCCTCCAGGGGCTTTACCAAGGCTCAGGCTCACACTGACTCCTTGGACCTTGTAGTAACTGTTGGTTGGGTCCTAAGGGGACAAATGGGGTCTGTGAGTATGTGAGGGTATAGAGGGGTGAGGGCCCCTGATGGAGATCAAGCCAGACCTAGGGAGAGGCAAAAGACAGAAACAGGAGCAGGCAGAGACAAATATGTAGACTGGTAGGAAGATAAAGGCAGAAAAACAGTGACAAAGGACAAAGGAACAGAAGCAAATGGGCAGAAAAAAGCAGAGACAGGGATATAACCCTCCCAAGAGGTGGTGGCATGGAAGGAGATGCAGAAGGAGCAAGAGAGAGAGAGAGATGGGTGGGGGGGAGAGAGAGAGAGAGAGCGAGCAAGATATTTACTCATACATCTGCCCAAGAACCCCATGGCTTTGATTTTGTGTCATGCCCTATATTGCTGCTGGACAGACCTGGACTTGTCCTCATGGGGATACCAGGCCAATGGGAAAATGGCAGATCACCAGACAGAACCCAGATGGGTCAGGGCTATACTGGGGGAAGTACAGGCAGAGCGGCTGGGACTGTGATGATGGGGCTTTATGGGGAAGCACAGACAAGTTTATTGTGGCTTTGATGGGAGAAGTTTCAGCACAGTGATTGGGCTGTGATGGAGAAGTCCAGATTAGAGTGTTCCTGGCTGTGACAGGTAAAACATGGACAGAATGATCAGGGATGTGAGGAGGGAAGCATGGGTTTTCTAGAACAAGAAATATCTGAGATAAGACAAGAGGAATTGATGGAGGGAATTAAGTAGGTAAGGGAAGGAAGGTAGAAGTGTTTCAAGCCAAGAAAATAGAACAGCGTGTTCTAGGTACAGCAGAGAGAGAGAGGGGACCCTAAAGGTGGGGCAGGTCTGGAGAGATGTAAGGCAAATGTGGGACCTAAGTGGAAGGGTCCTGGGGGAGGCAACCAGGAGGAGGCATCCAGGAGATCTGAAACATGACTGTGATGGGGAAAGCACAGAAAAAGTGAACCCTGATCTGGGGCTCAAGATGGAGGCCAAGGCTAGAACAGATATGTGGGCAGAGTCAGCAAATATGCAAACTGAGGCTGTGAAGGAGGATGAAACAATACAGAAGGCAGGAGAAAGAAAGCAGAGGGGGCTCTGTCCCTGTACTTCAGCTAAAAGAGTAAAAAAGGAGGGAACAGAAGCCAGGAAAGAACTGTAGACACAGAGAAGGAAGCCCCTCCCCTTTCAATACTCACCTTGATCTCCGAAGCCCCCTCTTCATCCAGAGCCAGGTCAGTGTGGTCTGTGTACATGATGGGGCCCTGGGGAAGGGTGCTCAGTGAGATGGGGCTGCTCAAAGGATCCTCCTGCCCCAGTACCTGACCCCAAGGACCCTCAACTGGAAAATGGAGGCCAGGCAGGAGGGAGCTGAGGCCTAGACTCAGGGAAACAAAGGGCCCTGGGGACATATTAGGTCTAGGGAATAACTTGTTCAGGGGCATAGTTGGATTTGGGGGACTTTTGGGTCTGGGGTTAATGTTGGGAATAGGACCCATCTTGAGTTTAGGTGCCGGGTTGGGACTGGCTTACTATTTGGGTCTAGAGGCATGGTTTGGTCTGGGGACCCCATCTTCTTACCCGGTCCTCACTGCTGCCTGTGCCCTCTTCCTCGGGGCCCTGTGAACTGGAACCATGGCTGCTGCCTGGGATTTGCACCAGGTTCTTTTGCTTGGAGAAAGAGGCTGTGGCCAAGGACAGTGAGTGGGAGTGGAGGGGAGGAGGCAGAGGTAAGCTAAGGGTCAGGGTCACAATTTGTGGAGACTGATGAGCAGGAAAGAGAGGACTGGGGGGATCAGGTTAGGAGACCAGGAACCAATGAGAGCCCTGGTCTAGGAGGGCAAGAAGTGTGATCTTGAGGAAGTAGAGTTAGGGCTTCAGGAAGGAACCAGGGCCTGAACATAAGCCAAGCCCCAACAGGGGCTAGAGAGGCAGTACTAGGGCCAGGGTCCCAAGGTCAGGCCTGTCAGTGAGCAGGGCGAGGGTGTGTGTGTGTATGTGTGTGCATGTGTGTATGTGTGGTGGGTGGAGCTGGGGTAGGGCTTGGGTACTGACCCTTGCCTTGGCACCAGCAGCAGAGGGCCACCCCAGTGATGACCATAAGGAGACTCATGGCTGAGAAGGCCACTCCAGTCACAATCTGCATAGTAGGCAGCGGCAAGTCTGCAAGGAGAAGGGTGGATAGTTTGAGGAGGCTGAGCAGAAGACCAGGGAGGAACTGGGGAACAGGGGACTCAGGGCTTGAGTTGGGGTCTCTGGATTCAAAAAGTCTTCAAGTTTTGGGGTACCCAAGGTTTGTAGTACCCAAGCTTGGGGTCCCTGGGCTTAAGGGCTTCTGAAATTGGGGTTTCACAATAAACTCTTTGGCTTTGGGGAGTCTTAGAATTTGAAAGATTTTAACATTCCCTTCTTTGGGGCACCTGAATGTGAGGTGTCTCAGTTTAGCATTCTGTATTTGAAGGAACTATTTTTTGGGGGGTCTCAGGATTCAAGGGACTCATAGTTTTGAGGCTCCTAAGGTTTGGGGTCTCTGCATTTGGAAGGCATTTTTTGCAGATTGTGGCATTTTAGGGGTTTGAGGTCCTCAAATTTTGGGAGGTCTTCAGGCTCCGGGTCTTACCTCTACGGCTCAGGCTGACCAGGGTGCTTCCCTCACCCAACCGGTTATGGGCACTGCAGTTGAAGCCCCTGCTAAAGTCAGACTCCTGAGTTCCGGAAATGTGTAGCACAGAGATCAGGCCTGGAGCCTGTCCAACTTGGCCCTCTGGGGCTGGAAACGTCTCTACCAGGAACCGATCCCGTGACCCCTTCTCCAGGAAGCCCCCATCCCAAGACCAGACCTTGGGGTACAAAAGAAGGATGTCAGAGGAGACTAGGGAGGAAGAGAGAGGAGCAGAGTTTCTGGAAAGTCAGAGGTAGTCACACAGTTTTGGGAGTCTGGCTGGGAGATCAGGGACCACGGTTGGGTGGGTCAGGAGAGCAGGGACGTTTTCTTACCACGGCTTCTGGTGCGGGGGAGGCGAAGACTAGACATTGGAGGCGGGCAGAACCCCTCAGGAAGGCAGGCGCTGAGTGCAAGGTGGTCACTACAGGGGGAGCTGGTTTGGAGATTGTGGACCAGTCAGAAGAGAGGGCCATCCTCCCACTCAAAGGCGACTCCTCACTAACCTCAACCAACCAGGGCAGTCCCCTCACAAACTCAGACCCCTGGAAGCTCGCTTCATGAGGTCCTACTAGTACCCCCAGGCCCAACCTCTACCCATGCTATTAGACTTTGCCCATCTTTGTCCTGGGACCTGCCTAGTCCTCTAGGAAGCACTGGTTTCTCACCATTCACAGTCAGCCTAGCCTCTGCAACGCCGCCCCCTAGACCGGAGAGCCCTGGCTCAGCCCTGCACACGTAGTCACCTGCATCCTCCAGCCCCACCGAAGGAATACGCAGTGTGGGCCCGGAGCCCAGTACCTGGGATATGAAGGGGTGTCAGGGGCAATAAACTTGGGAGAAAGCCCCGTCCACTGCCTGCCACCATCACTACCCCCTACAGGATCTTACCTGTGTGCCCCCATGGCGGGTCCAGGTTACCTGTGGGAGAGGGTTCCCACGCCAAGAACAGCTAAACAAAGCGTCTTCCCCCAGGTCTACAGACGTGGGCTCTGGCTTTGCCAGCAGAATCGGCCCAACTGGAGGAAAGGAAGGGTCACATTCCCCGGGTGGGGCTGCAACTTCTGATCTGCGAATAGCCACTCAGAAATGGCACCCTCAAGGACCCAAGTATTGGCCCCCTTCCACAACGCCCTCCCTCCGCCCCTGCTCCATTATGGCATTGACCCAACATAGCTAAACTCTGCCTACGTCCTATACCCTCCCCACCTCCTTCCTTAGCCCATGGCAGCCACTCCCCAGTCTAGCCCTCAGCCCATTCCAGCAGGTCCTACTGCCCATATCCACGGCACGCCCAGTCTCACACTGTACATCCAGTGCGGTGCTGCGGTTGGCGCTACCCACAGTGTTGCTGACTTCGCATGACACTGGCGCAGTTAGGAATGAGGCATCTGCCACCACCTCCAACATTGGCCCTCGGGCCCCCAGCACTGGGGAACCCCCCTTTGCCCACCTGTGGAGGTGGTGGGGCTGTTAGTGCTGTCTCTGCTCCCCAGGCACACCTACTCATGTCCCAGGCCCAGCCCCTCCCCAGCACAAAGTAATCTTCATCCTCACCGATAGCCGGTGACAGGAGGCTGGGCCCTGGCCTGGCATAGGAAAGTAACCTTCTCTCCCTCCTGTACAGTCTGTGGTTCTGCAGACAGAGTCACCACTGGGGGATCTGTGGAGGTGAGTCAATAATTAGCTGTGGTCCAGGACCTGGAACATCTCCATTGATGACCTAGGAGTCAAATTCCCAGCCTCTCTACCCTAGGAGGGTGGGTCCCCAGTTCCCTCTTCCCTTTGAGCTGGGAGTCCAGGCAGGTCTCCAGTTCCAATTCCCTCAGAAACCACAGGTCCACAGCTCCCTCCTTCCTCATTGAGATCCCAGCCCCCTATTTCACTAAGAACCTCAGGCTCATGGCCCAGTGTCTAACTACACTTACATTGCAGGCTCAGTGTGATAGCTGTGTCCTTTCCTGCAGGCAGGGCCTGGCTTCGGGCCCGGCAGACCAAGGTGGCTCCATCATCATGGCTGGAAGGGGTCAAGTATAAGATGCTCTCCACTGACCCAGTAGTCCCTTCCTTCAGTATGATCTAGAGGTTATGAATAATAACAATGATTTCATCTACCCCTTATATAGTGTTTACTATATGTCAGGTGCTCTTTTGGGTAATTAGAAGCATTGCTTTGTTCAATACAATTAATTACCCTATGAGGTGCATACTGCTATTTTTATTTTTGTTTTTTATTTTATTTATTTATTTTTAGAGAGGAGGGAGAGAGGGAGAGAAACATCAATGTGTGGTTGCCTCTCACATGCTCCCTACTGGGGACTTGGCCCACAACCCAGTCACGTGCCCTGACTGGGAATCAAAAAGGCAACCCCTTTGCTTTGCCGTCTGGTGCTCAATCCACTGAGCCACACCAGCCAGGGCTAAAGTGCATACTACCATTACCCTCATTGTACAGATAAGAAAACTGAGGGACAGAAGAGGTTAAGTTACCTACCCAAAATCAATCAACTAATGAGTGACTGAGCCAGGTAATCTGGACCTAGAGTCGTCATCCTTAATTATACACCAAGGGTCCCAACTTTGAACTCCTGCCCTTCCGTGCCCTGTTCTCCTCTGGATGAGCCAGTGGTCTGAGTGAGCCCCCACATTTCCCTGAATGGGCAAGGGCTGGCACAGAGACTTGCATCTGACCTGTTTGAAGGTGGTCCCATCCAGCTGGACCCCATCTCGAAACCACAGCAGCTCAGGGGTGGGGCGGGCATCCCCATGGCTCCGACAGGTTAGGTTTGCAGGAACCCCAGCAACCAGAGATACAGAGGGGCCGCCCAACACATGAGGGGCTTCTGGGGGCACTGTGGGTAGATCTGGGGTCAGAGATGAATCCTGAGCCAGAGACCCTGATCTTCCCAGCTCTAACCAACCACTCCTCTGTGTTCCATGGACTCTAATAGTCCCAGCTAGGGCTGGCTGTCCCTCTGGGCACCCCTAGGGAGAAGAGTGGGCTGGATCCTCACCCAGCACATGCAATTGGGCCGGTCGAGAGCGGAGGCCTGCCTGTGTCGCCTGACATTCATATGCTGCTTGATCCTCTAGCTCCACAGGCCTAATGTGGAGGTCGTGCTGGCCACTGGCTGCATTCCCTGATATCCAGTACCTGGACCACCCTGGCATCAAGGAAAAGGCAGTCACACCACAGTTCTGAACCACACCAAAAGTGGGTGTTGGGACAGGGAGACACTAAGCCTTTCCCAATCCAGAGTCACTTAAATTTGGGGATGATAAATTCAGAAAAAAACTCCCGAAAACAATCACCATAAGAGTCAAATTAGATGCTACCCCTGGGGAAAAGAGGGAATGAGAATAATAGGGGAAAGGAATACAAAGGGCTTCTGGACCTGGGTAGTAGTTACTTGGGTGTCTATTTTATGGTTATTGGGCAAATCTTCCATTTATGTTTTATGTGCTTTTCTGCATTTTTGTAATATTTTATAATAAAAATAAAAATTTCCAAACCCTATGGGTCACCCTCAAAGTATAAACTAAAAATTCAGGACATCCAAATGTTTACTTGGGACCATTAATTTCCCAAACCTGAAAATGTCAAAATAGATCCTTCAATTATAGCCTAAACCCAGCATCTCCACCCTGGAGCCAAGAGCCAGCCCCTTCCTGAATGGAGAGAACAGTCTCACCTGGCAGGTCCCTTTCACCCCCTAGAGCCAGCCCATCCTTAGTCCACTGAACCAGCCCCGAGTATGTGCCCAGGGCACAGGGCAGACGGGCCTCATCCCCTAGCAGTACCACCAAGTCCTCCGGCTGTTGCAGGAAATGGGGCGACAGGCCTAGGAGAATAAGAGGGGGGAGCAAAGCTGAGTTTAACACATTCAAGAGCTCCCTCATTCAGGACCTGGGACTTACTCCCCAAACCCTGCTTCGCTCAGACCCAGAAGACCGACTGAGTCCTCAGCCCCATTCACCCTAGTAAAGCAGCAACTGGCAAACAATCCTCTCTCATATTTACCGCCCGCCCCTGGCAGTACCTGCACGCCCTCTGAAGCAGAAGAAGAGGACCAGGAGGGCGGGAACCAGCATCCTGGGTGTATGTCCCTCAAGATCCAGTTGACTTGCCGCACTGGCTTTCCCGCCAACTGCTTCCTCGAAAGCACACCTCCCGCCACTCCGGTCCGGAGCCCCCTTCGCGCCCGACTCTTCACCCCAGGCTAGGACCTCCCTTCTGTCCCTGGCCTGGAGTTCCTAAGTCGGCTCGGCCGCTGGCTCGGATTCTGCAGCGCCAGCGAGGTCCGTGTACGGAGTCTCTGAGAGACTCCGGGAGGGTCTGATCCCATACGCCCCGCCCCGGCGCACCCTGTGCCCCCGGGGACCCGCCCCCTTTCCATGAAGAAAGTCCCGTAGTCGAGACCCCAACGAATCCGAGAAAGTAGGGCGGGGTTCTCCCCTTGGGCTGGAGCCCCAGCCCAACTGGGATCTGGGAGCCGCAACACCTGGATCGAAAGAGGTCTAGGCTGGGTTGGACACATGCACCCTGCCGTGGTTGCGGGGCTACGAGGTTGAAAAGGAGGGAGTGGAAGAAACTTGCTTAGCCCAAGTCCTGCAGGGACCTCGCTGAGTGGAAACTTAGCTATAAATGGGAACCCCTGGGGCCTTGCTAGTTTCCGCGCCTGGGGGAGGCGGGGCCCGGGGATCCTCAGAGCCTGGGGGGTCAGGAAGAGGGCGCCGGGTTGCCTGGGTTGGGGGCAGCTGGGACCCCGGAGAAGAGGAGGATTCTGCTCTTCTCTCTCAAAACACCTCCTCAAAATATCCCCCTGCATTCCTAGTTACCGCTGCAAACCATAGCAAGTCCTAAGATCCAGGAATCCAAGCCCCCAGCCCCTCCTTTCCCTAGACCCCGCAGTAAGGGCTCAGTCCCTCGCCCTACTTGGCTGTGGTTGCCGGGCGACAGCTGGGAGGCGGCGGTGCCGGGGCTGGTCAGGCTAGGAGGCTGGGAACTTCGCAGCTTGTCCTGACTGCTACATGCGGCCCAGCTGGGGCGTTCCCACGCTACAGGCCCGTGGGTACGCTGCGCAGCTGCCGGGGCAGGTGGGCGGGACCTCGAGCAGGCTGAGGGGCGACTGTGGGTCTGACTTACCTGAGCCCGCTGGGACTGGGATCCTCGCTCAGGTTTCCCATTGTTCCCGAGCGCAGATTCTGGGGTTCCTCCCTAAGTGGCAGCGACTTGGACTTCCAGGATTCTAAGACTGGGGATTCAGACCTCTGTTGGATGAGAAGCTCCGAGTTTCCGAAGAGCTGGGAACTCATCTAGGTCCTCTGCCCGCAACAGGACGCAGTTGGGAGAGTATGACAGGGGGTCAGAAAATCTGTTCTTAAGTCTTAGAGTCAGTGGATTTAAGCACCAATCTCTCTCCCAACCCCGACACAGGCCCAGGAGGAGAATTTGAAAATCAGCAGTGACCATTTGCCCTAAGTCTGGTGGGCGGGGAGGAGGGGGCTGGGCTGTGGAGGAGGTAATGGAGACCTGAATTCTTGGGAATTTGGGAAGAAGGGGCTGCAGGCCTGGCCTCTTGGGTCTGAGAGGGGTGGGTCCTTGTCCGCCCAGACTTCTGGGTCTGGGTGCCTGAACTCCTGGCTTCTCTTTTGTGGATCCAACACTTGGATTTGGAAATAAGGTGAGCTTGGGGCCAGCACTCCTGAGGCTTGGGGAGGAAGTCAGGATAGTAAGACTGTTTTTCCAGACACATGATATCACTTTCCTTTCCTGGCTCTTTGGGGCCACAGGCATGGAAAGATGGAGAGCTTGGAGTCCCAGGAGCATCCAGAGAAGGAAAACAGCTAAAGTGGAAGATGGAAGGTTTGTGCTAATTAAAGTCCCCAGCAACTGACAGCTCTACACCCTGGCCCACATGGACACCATCTGGTGAGGGCCCCTATAACAGAACCTCCAGCTCTGCATCCAGCCCATTCCCCAAGTGGTGTGGGGGCAGTTGGAAGAGAAAACATGGTAGGAGTGAAAGGAGTCAATAATGGGAGGGAAGAAGAAAGACTAGTGGGAGCATCAGAGATGGACCTGTTGAGGGCTCAGGCCAGATGCCTCATTTTGTTCCTAGAGGAGGACCAGAAAGGGCATCATGGCAGAGGAGATCAATTCCTGCAGGAGATAAGCAGGTAGAAGAAGCTATCCTACGTGAGTGTGTATGAACACACTGGGGTGGGGAGGGCAGGTCAACCAGCATATGGTTATAAAATTCGAAGATGCAACAATCAGGAGAAATAAAGAAAAGAAAGATGTAGTCAAAGGGTGACTGAGAACAAATATTTATTGAGCTCCTGGTGTGTGAGAGAGAGCATGGGATGGGGTGGGAAGATAGAGATGAGAATAGAGACAAAAAGACAGAAAAGCATGAATATATCTATATAGAGGAACATCTATATATCTATATCTATAGTGAGAGAGAGAGAGAGGCACTGACATAGTTAAAGGTTGACTGAGATGTAACCACCTAATGAGACAGGAAGAGAGAAAGACAATGAGACTGAGAGGAGAGACTCAAAGAAATGGAGAAAAATAAAAATATAAATCAAGATAGATAGAGGACAGGAGAGAGACAGACAGAAGGGACAGGGAGAGACAGGGAAGCTATGTGAATGGAACTCACAAGGCCTTTGACAAGGGGTTCCTACCTGGGCTCATTGTTATACCCATACTTAGTGCTTGTGGTCTTAGACTCTATCTTATACTCCCACCCACTCTGATTGCCCTATTCCCTCCACAATTACACCTCACTCATTTATATACATTCATACACTCTGCACATACTTTCACAGATCACAATTCACTCTCACTTTCTCCACACTCACACTCATACTCACTCACATGCACTTTACACACACATGCACAAAGATATCTCCCAGTCTCTCATACACATTCTTGCATACTCCCCAACAGACATCCCTGATGTCATTTAGCGGGTAATGCCTACTCAAGGCAGGAAAGGGCTTACCAAGTTTGTATACCAGGGCAGGGAAGAACTGGGGAATCCTAGCCCCATGTCAGGCCCAGCTCTCTCCTCCCCATGCTGAGCTGGGACTGCCTGGGTCTGACCTGAACCTCCTCATTCCTGGCCCAAGCCAGGCCCTTGGGGTCATAGAGGCTGGGAGGCACCAAGGAGTATGCCTGGCATGTGCTGACAGGGGATTTTTGCTCCAGCTGGGCCTGGAGGAGCCTGCTGGACAGAGGTCTGGAGCTGGAGACTCTAAAGGCAGACTAGGGAGGTAGTAGTGGGAGGACAAGATCAGACTGGGTCCTGGAATGAGACTCAACTCTGCCACTGACTCCATTGGCCTCATCACCTCTCCTTGGCTCATGGGGCCTGATGGACTCTGAGGGGCTGTGAGTGGTGAGAAGAAAGCAGAGGTTAGGGTGGCAGGAGAGAAGAAAGACAAATAGAGACTTATGGGGAGGGAGAGAGAAACTCAGAGAAAAAGACCTTGTGCCTTAGGGAGAAAGAGATAGAAAGACAGGAGGAAGGAGAGTGGAAGGGACTTAGGGCAGGGAGGGAGATAGAAAGACAGAAGGGGAAAGAGAGGGAAACACAGACTCATGGGAGGAGAAAAAATCAGAGAAAGAAAAAGAGATAGATGGCAAAAGAGAGACAAAGAGAAAAGCAAGGGGCAGAGACATAGGGAGAAGGACTCCTACAGAGAGAAAGCCACAGGCAGATGCAGGAGGCAAGCAGTGGGTATTGCAGAAGTCAGAGGCAGACGACATGGAAGGGCCCTGAGGATCCCCGTCCAGGCTCCCCTGCTCTTCATGGGGCTGCTGACCACAGGTGAGTGGGATCTTGGCTTTGCGACCTAGTGTTAAGAGACCCTCATTTCCCACTCACATTCTCCACACAGACCCTCTGCCCTCTCCTGCTGACTTTTCTATATCCCCAGGCCTGGCCCAGTTGCAGATTCCTGCTTCAACCTCCAGAGGTTTCTGGGCTCTGCCTGAAAACATGACAGTGGTGGAGGGGGCTGCTGCTGAGCTTCTGTGTGGAGTCAGTGCCCCTGGCAGTGTAGTGCAATGGGCCAAAGATGGACTACTCCTAGGCCCTGATCCTAGGATCCCTGGCTTCCCACGGTACTACCTGGTAGGGGACCCTACTAGAGGTAAGGTGTCAGATCCTGAGACCCTGAGCCACCAGGAGAAGCTGACAGTGGCCCTGACCTTGAGTCCTACCTGCAGGTGAATTCCACCTGCATATTGAAGCATGTGACCTCAGTGACGATGCAGAGTATGAGTGCCAGGTCAGCCGCTCAGAGACAGGGTTGGAGCTCGTGTCCCCCAGAGTGATCCTCTCCATTCTGGGTATGGTCTATATATCTAGCCCTCTCCCACCACGGACCTAAGAGTCCAAGCTACTAGCCTCTCTTTCTTCAGATCCAGGGTGCAGAACTCACTTCATAAGCAATGAAATCCTCATATCCTTGTTGGTAGTAACGGCTTACTCCAGACCTTTTCTCACCAGTGCCCCCCAAGATGCTTCAGATGACCCCTGAGGCAGGGAGCACAGTCACGTGGGTAGCTGGGCAGGAGTACGAGGTCAGCTGTGTATCTGGGGATGCAAAGCCAGCACCTGACATCACCTTCCTTCAAAGTGAGTGTGGATGAACTGCTGGGAGCAGTGTGAGACTCCTGGAGTTGGGAGAGGGGTACCCTTGCCCCATGCCCTCCTAGGGGCCTCAGAAAATATAACATTCCTGAGATGAGGACACAGGCTTGGGGAGATGCTGAGGCCAGCATGGGATGTGGTGGATGGTGGGACATCCAGGGAAATGCACCAAGGAGATCACAGGAGCACTGGTTTGGGACTCAGTCATCCGGGCTGAGGCTCCAGAAAGAGATGTGGTGTCATCATCAGTGCAAAAATGAGAAACTGAGTAATGGATGTAGGCAACATACCTAGTAAGGATGGGAGGGGAGGCGAGAAGCCCAGGAACCAGGCCTGAGTACTCTGGGATTCAGGGAAGCCTGAATGTGTGGAGGGAATGGAGCTAGTACTTTTCTTCCAGAGCCAGGAGAGAGGGCAGTATATCCATCCTGATGACTTCCAGGCCATGATCCCCAGGGTCTGCCTTGGGGAGAACCTGGCATCCCTTCTGTCCTCTTGTTACCCCAAGGTGGACAAATAATTTCTGACATTACTGCTAATGTGGACGAGGGATCCCAGGAGAAACTCTTCACCACAGAGGCCACAGCAAGGTATGGGAGTTGGGATGCCCTAACTTTAGCCTGACCCCAAAATTTTTTCATGAAAACCCCATAGCCCAGGGATTCAAGCATGAAACTTGGGTTAGGTATGACTATCAGGGTCCCTGACTTCACTCTGACATTGTCTTCTGACACTTCAAAACTTCTTCATGGGAACCCCAGTTCCAGAGTATCAAGTATGAAGGTTTTGGCCATGCATGGGACTCTGGGACCACAATTCTCATTCCTAATCCCACAAATCCCTTCCATGGAATTCCAGATCCTAGAGGAAATCAGCATGGAGACTTAGACCAGGTGTAGGGACTCCTTCATCCTAACTCTCCAAATTTCCGATAATAACTCTGACTCTAGAACCCCAACTTCCCACCTAGAGTGACACCACAGAGCTCGGATAATGGGCAGTTACTGGTCTGTGAGGGGTCCAGCCCAGCTTTGAACGCCCCTATCAAGGTCTCAGTCACCATGAATGTTCTGTGTAAGTGGGAAACTGAGTGAGCTGTGGGCACTGGGGACAGGGATTGGGGGAATTGGGGCTCTTGGGGGTGCACAGGGGTTATGAATGGTTCTGGTTCTCAAAGAGAAACATGAGGGTTCAGGGGCAGACTGTAGTGCCTGGAAAGAATGGATGGGCTCTCCAGGCCCACTGAGGGACTGCTGCTCTCTAGTCCCCCCAGGCCCCCCCGTGATTGAGTGGCCAGGCCTGGACGAGGGGCACGTGCGGGCAGGGCAGAACCTGGAGCTGTGGTGCATGGCCCGAGGAGGAAATCCACCAGCCACACTGCAGTGGCTGAAGGTGAAGACAGAAGCATACATGAGGGCGGGGAGATTGGTGGGGGCTGGGAGCTGGCCTTGAGATGGCCCGGGCCTGTTCCTCTCTCCAGAATGGCCAGCCCATGCCCACAGCATGGGGCATGGAGCATGCTCAGGCAGTGGCCAGAAGCATGCTAGTAATGATGGTGCGGCCAGAAGACCATGGGACGAGGCTCAGCTGTGAGGCCCACAACAGCGTATCTAAAGGGATCCAGGAACGTGGGGTCACACTACAGGTTACCTGTGAGTCTTAGCACCAGCTGCCCATCTGTCAGTCTATGTACCAGAGAGCCATCTGTCTGTGCCCCCAAATCATGCCTGTTTAATGCAAAATACCTCATCATCTGTCCCAGGTTCCCTGTCTATCTGGGCTGGACTGTGTGGTGTCCAGCCCAGCTTAGTGTCTCTCCTCTGCCCATTATCTCTCAGTTCCCCCCAGTGCCATTACTATCCTGGGATCTGCATCCCAATCTGAGAACAAGAACGTGACCCTGTCCTGCATCACCAAGTCCAGTCGCCCACGGGTCCTGCTGCGATGGTGGCTGGGCTGGCGGCAGTTGCTGCCCACAGAGGACACTGTAATGGATGTGAGGCAGGGGCCAGACTCCTGGGTGTGAGGGAGGAGGGAGTTAAAGGCATGGCCCTTGGATCTGAGAGAAAATGCCTTGGTTGTTGGGGAGCATGGACTGGGACCTGGACATCCTGGCTCTGACAGAGGAGGGGATGGGAAGGCTTCATGTGTCTCTGCTGGAGCATGAAGTAGACTCAGGCCTCTGGTCCATGGATGAGGGTGCCCTAGTCCCTAGCCTGAAGCTCTTTCCTGCCAGGGCCTTCATGGTGGCTACATCTCCATGTCCAACCTGACGTTCCTGGTACGACGGGAGGACAATGGTTTGACGCTCACCTGTGAGGCCTTTAGTGAGGCCTTCACCAAGGAGACCTTCAAAAAGTCACTCACCCTGAATGTGAAATGTGAGCCCCTATCCTCCCCCTGAGGGATATGCCCTGCCTTAATAACCCCACCCTCAGTCCTCAACCCAGAGAAGAGAGTCACTCTTTCTGCCTCTCCCCACAGATCCTGCCCAGAAACTGTGGATTGAGGGGCCCCCAGAGGGGCAGCTGCTCCGGGCTGGGACCCGGGTGAGGCTGGTGTGTTTGGCCATTGGAGGCAACCCAGACCCCTCCCTCACCTGGTACAAGGTCAGTGCCAAGCAAGGGCTGTAGGATGGCCAAGAATGTGGGGAAGTGCTGAAGGCCTGTCTCTCTTCCAGAGTCTTCGGAAATCTTGGAAAAACCTGAATTAAAAAAAAATACTAAGGATTTCAAGTTTTGTCAGGGAATTGGAAAAGACACAAATGCCCTAAGAAATAAGTGGAATCCTAGGAAAATCCTGGGAAATCAGTGAGAATCTTGTGTTAAATGAAGGAATTCTAGATCATATTTGGGAATTCTAGAGAAAAGACAATTTCACTAAATGAAATTCTGCTGAAATCTCAGAATTCAGGTGAAATGTTGGAAATTTTAGGGAAAGACTAAGAATTCCAGGAACAAAGACAATGACAGGCAAAAACTAGAAATTTGGGGAAAGACTAGTAATTCCACAAAGCATTGAAATTCATTAATTAGTATTAAATTGACTTCTTATTGAGATTGATTTGGAGGTAAATAAATGAAATTCTGATAAAATTAAAAGAAATTCTGACAGAATTCTGGAAAGATCTTGGGAAGTTAGGGAGCTAGTGAAAATTCTGGGAGGAAAAAGTAGGACTTACAGAGATGAAATGGAAGTCTCCATAATTAGATGGAATTCTGGGGAAATGCCAAGACTTTGAGCCTCACAAAGGATTTTGGTAAAAGATTAATGATAAAATATTGGGAAAGGATTCAGAAATCTGTGAAAAAACAATTGAATTAAAGCAGGAGTGTCAAACTCATTTTCACTGGGGGCCACATCAGCCTCGCGGTTGCCTTCAAAGGGTCAAATGTAAGTTTAGGGTTGTATAAATATAACTACTCATTAATCAGGGGCAAGGAACTCAACACTGCCGCTGGGTAGAAACAAAGTGCCAGGCTGGATAAAACAAGGTGGAGGGCTGGATTCAGCCTGCGGGCCTTGTGTTTGCCACCTGTGAATTAAGGGAATGATCAAATGAAATCTTCAGGGAAAGTGGGGATTTTAATTAAAAAAAAAAACAAACCCTAAGGATTGGAAAACATGAAGGAATTCTTGGAAAGCCTTGGGAATTCCAAGGGAGTTTCCTGGAGTTTGGTATTTGGTAAATGTAGCTGGAACGGATTTTGAGAAATGGGCCTGAGGGTCAGCAGAGGGCACCAACAATCTCAGGCCTCTGCAGAGCAGAGGTGAGGCATGGAACTGGAGGACGGATCCGAGAGCAAAACAGCAGAGTTTAGGGGGTCCAGGTTAGGCGGGAGAGATTCCGCGTTGGGAATAATCAAGTCCAACTTCTTCCTCTGCCCTAGCACGGTTCCCGTGGAAGGGGGCGCCTTTTCCTCATCACACAAAGGCTTTATCTTGGGCTGGAGGCTGCCAACCCAATTCGGGGAAGGCAAGGCTACCCATGGTCCTCATGTCACTCTCGACCCTCAGGACTCGCGCATGGTGACTGAGCCGCGGCTGCCGCAAGAGCCGCGCCGCGTGCAGCTGGGAAATCTGGAGAAGTCGGGGAGCATCGTCTCTCGTGAGCTAGTGCTGGTCACGAGTCCGTCGGACAACCAAGCCAAGTTCACGTGCAAGGCGGGCCAGCTCAGCGCATCCATGCAGCTCGTGGTGCAGTGTAAGGGCTGGAATGACCCGGGTGCGCGGGAGGGCTTGGCGGTAGCTGGTAACTGAGCCAGAGCCGGTGGCGGGAACAGTGGGTTTGGCAGAACCAGGAGTAGTGGTAAAGGGACACAGGGCTGGGCTGGACCGGGCCTGGGGTCAAGGCACAGATCTCCTCTTCATCTCTGAACCTTGCTCCTCTGACATGTTCTCGAAGTTCCCCCAACTAACTTGACGATCCTGGCCAACGTGTCAGTGCTGCGCCCTGGGGATGCCTTAAACTTGACTTGCGTCAGCGTTAGCAGCAACCCTCCGGTCAACTTGTCCTGGGACAAGGAAGGGGAGAAGTGAGAGTGCGAGTGGCCCCGCCCCTCCCTTGTTCTGGCCTTGCCCACTTACCTTCCAAGTCCCGTCCCCACCCTGCCTGCTGTCCTGCCCAGTTTCCAAGCCCACCTCTGGCTTTGCTCCTGCCCCTGTGCCAGTCATGACATGATCCCACCATCCCCTGCCCTGTCCACAGGCTGGAAGGCATAACTTCACCACCCCGGAGCGCCCCATTTAAAGGCTCTGCCGCCGCCAGGAGTGTCCTTCTGAGAATATCATCCGGGGACCACGGCCACCGTGTGACTTGTCGTGCCCACAGCACCAGGCTACGGGAAACCGTGAGCGCCTTCTACCGACTCAACGTGCTTTGTATGTGCCCTGAACTGGAGCCCCTCTTGATTCCCTCCTGACCCTGTATCATTTGGGGCTTCACCTTGACCCTGTCCTTGACCTCCATCCTAAACCTTAAAACTTCCCTGAACTTTATCCTGACCCAGCCTTGCACCAACTCCTAATCCTGCCCAAACCCCATCTTGCCTTTGTCCTCTATCGTAACCCCTGATCATGACTCTCATTCTGAACACTCTCTCCATCCTTAACGTGACTCAGGCCTCTACCCCTTTCCTAAACTGGGTCCTAACCACCATCCTGAACTTAACCTCCAAGCTCAGTTCTTTACTTAATTGTTCCTTGTTCACAACCTTGAATCTAGTTGCAACCGGGACTTTCACTCTGTATACCTGTGCCTGATCTCAAATTCATCCCCATTCCCAACCTTAACACCAATCTTGACTCCCAGTGGCATCCCTTCACAGACCCTCCAGAGTTCCTGGGGGAGCAGGTTCTTGTGGTGACTGCAGTGGAGCAGGGTGAAGCACTGCTGCCTGTGTCGGTGTCTGCCAACCCAGCCCCAGAGGCCTTCAACTGGACCTTCCGTGGCTACCGCCTCAGCCCAGGTGTGGGAAAGGGCATGGAGAGCGGTGCAAGTCTTCAGAAAGGGAGGTCTGGTAAGCTCCTCACCTTGATCTCCCCTAGCTGGCGGGCCCCGGCATCGCATCCTATCTAGTGGAGCTCTGCAGCTATGGAATGTGACCCGTGCTGACGATGGCCTCTATCAGCTGCACTGCCAGAACTCGGAGGGCACTGCTGAAGCTCTAGTGCGGCTGGATGTACACTGTGAGCCCCTCATCACCCTAGGAAACTAGGCAGCTCTGGGAGCCCCACCCATCATGGAAACCACATCAACCCAGGAACCTTGCCTGCTGTGAAGTCTCCTTATTGTGGAAGCTCTGCCCACGCAGGGATGTTCACCTGTCCTGGAAGCCTCTCACTCTGGGAGCCCCAGCTACAATGAAACCCAGCCCACTTTGGCTCTACTGCCCCCTAGGATGATAATCTGCTCCTGACAGGGGACCCACCTACATGGGAGTTACTCCCATCATGTCCATGATGGGAGTAACTCCCACCTCCAAACAATTCTGGAAGTCCACCTGACCTACTCTTGTCACCACAGAAGCAGAGTAAAGGATAGGGACAGCCTCACTAACTCTGAGAACTACTCCAAGTGCTCCATATGTTCCACATAAGAGGCAGATCATCATACCCATAACTTCCCTGGACACCTCTAAGATACCTTGCCCACCTGGGATCCTCTCCCACCATGGCCTGTCTGGTCCAAGGGCCTTCTTCAAGCCCCTGTCTCTTCCTCCAGATGCTCCCACCATCCGAGCTCTCCAGGACCCAACTGAGGTGAATATTGGGGGTTCTGTAGACATAGTCTGTACCGTTGATGCCAAGCCCATCCTTCCGGGGATGTTCAACTGGGAGAGACTGGTGAGGATACAACATTTGGTAAATGGAGGTGGGGCTGGGCAATGTGGTTTCTTACCTGTCAACTCTTTGGGAAAGAGGGTCACATCTATATGACTATATACTTGTCAGGGCATTCCCTAAGAACTAACTGTTGAATGGCAGCTGAATGGATGGATGAGTGGATAGATAACCAGGTGAGAAGGCGGGCAGGTGGATAGATGTGTAGATTGATAGGTAAATGGGTAGATGAATAGGTAGATGGATGAATGAGTAGATGAAATAATAGATAAACAAATGGACAAGTGAATGAATAGATAAATAGCCATGGATGGCTAGATGGATGCTTGAATGAGAGAAATGAGTAGATAAATTAATTAGATTAGAAAGTACATGGATGGATAGATACTCCATCAGTGTAAAGATGTCTGTGGAAGGATGATGGATGAATGGATGAAGAGATAAAAAGATGGATGAATTGATAAACAGATGCATGTACTCATGAGTGTGTGCATGTATGAGTGAATAGATAGGGAAGATGGGTAGAGAGATGAAAGGGCAAATAGATGAATGGATATAAGAAAGAAAAATGGTTGGTTGAATGAATGGGTGAATGAATGAATGAATGAATGGATGAGAAGAGAGGTAGACGGATGGGTAGATAAGTAGATTAATAGGTGGATGGTTAAATAGATGAACATATATGTCAATAAATGGCTTCATGAATGGTTGAATAAGTGGGTGGATGGATGACAAGAAGAATTTTTTTTGCTAGCTCTGTAAAAGGTGATTGTGGCTAGGAGAATGAGGCTACATAAGGGACCCATTTGGGGAGATAATGGAACTGGGGCAAGACTGGGGGCCATCACCCTGAGCCTTGGGCACCCAGGGAGAAGAAGAGGAGGACTGGAGCCTGGATGACATGGAGGAACTGTCAAGGGGGTCCACAGGGCGTCTTCGGATTCACCATGCCAAGCTGGCTCAGGCAGGTGCTTACCAGTGCATTGTGGACAATGGGGTGGCACCTCCAGCCCGAGGGCTGGTCCGTCTTGTCGTCAGATGTGAGTAACACACATACCCCTGAGTTGAAGTCTTACCAGTAAACCTACAATTCTCATGTTCTTCCAAATACCTCATGTTGACCTCCTAGTGCCCTCCTAGTTGCTCCCCAGGTAGAACACCCCACTCCCCTAACTAAGGTGGCTGCAGCTGGAGACAGCACCAGTTCTGCCACACTCCACTGTCGTGCTCGAGGTATACCCAACATTGTCTTCACTTGGACTAAAAACGGGGTCCCTTTGGATCTCCAGGATCCCAGGTGAGCCCAGGCCCAGCCAGACAGCACTCCAGCTCCAATTCTGTTCCCTCAGCCCTAGTCGCTCTCCCTGAATTCCTGCCACACCTCTTTTCCAGGTACACAGAGCACACGTACCACCAGGGTGGAGTCCATAGCAGTCTTCTGACAATTGCCAATGTTTCTGCAGCCCAGGATTATGCCCTCTTCACATGCACAGCCACGAACCCCCTCGGCTCAGACCATACCAACATTCAACTCGTCAGCATCAGTATGGTGGGAGGGGGCTGTGAGGGTTTTGGGAGGGTGCTCCCTGGTTTAGGCCCCAAGTCTCAAGTTGGCTCCCTACTGGAAGTGTTCCTGAAACCTTAGAAGTGTTTATGAATAAGGATGGAGTTTTTGCCTGGCCTGAAAATTCTAATGAAGGCTGCAGGGGAACTCACAACAAATAAAAAAAGGAGTGGGGACTTATTGGCTCAAGTAACTTAAAAGTAGATTTCAGGAGTCACTGAATCTAGGTTCAGCTGTCATCAGAACTCTGTCTATCAGGTCTACTTTTTTGTGTGTTGGCTTTATTCTAAGGCTTCTCATAGTGGGCTGCTGGACTTCCTGGAGGAAATTGAATTTTATCTCCTCCTAACAGTGGTGTGAAAGTGCTAGAATTAAGATTTATTGGCTCTTTTGGCTCCCAGCCCTGAACCAATCATGTGGTCAGGGGAAGAGCAGAGTCTCTTCCATAGGAAGCATATGGACTGAGGATGTGGGCAAATGTTTCTCCTGTGGCTACTCAGGGTTCTGTAACCAGAAGAAATTAATGGAGTGGATGTGAGATAAGCACAAAAAATACACTTCAAGAATGAATATATATATAAAATACAGTTGATGATCTAGTCATTCAGGCACATGTACAGAATGGGTAAGAAGTATGAGTACTTGATGAGCATATTCTCAGCCCAGGGAGAAAGCCACATTCTTCCTTCTTGTTTCAGCTCTCATATGTAAATACGTGTCCTTTTTGAGGTCTATTTTGTACCATATATTGTGTGCTGTTTGTCCTTGGGTTTTGTTATTTAAAATGGCCTCCAAGCATAGTGCTGAAATGCTATCTGGTATTCCTAAGTGCAGGAAGGCTGTGATGTGCCATATGGAGAAAATGCCTCTGTTGGAAAAGCTTCGTTCAGGCATCAGTTAGAGCTGTTGACTATGACTTCAATGTTAATAAATCAAGATATCTTAAATAAGGTGTTTTTCAACAGAAAAGCACATAAAACAAGATCATGTAGTGGTTGTTTAATAAAAATGTTGTGACTAGAGGCTTAGGAACCTAACTCTGCATTTCCTCTAGAAGCAATGGTTTAGTATTTGCTAATTCAGTGTTCACAATAACTTTATTGAACATAACCACCATGAATAATAAGAATTGACATATTTAAAATCATTCTTAGGAAGAATCTGGAAGGAATCTGCCAGAACCCTTTTGTATCCTCTGACTACTTTTCCCATCATTTTTCTTGAAGGCCGCCCTGATCCTCCATCTGGGGTAAAGGTCGTGAGCATGACCCCATACTCAGTGGGGCTGGAGTGGAAGCCTGGCTTTGATGGGGGTTTGCCACAGACCTTCCAAATCAGGTGGGTCCGTATTAAGGCAGAAGAGGGTGGCAACCATCAAGGCTGGGGCACCGCCTTGAGTGACTGAGGTCCTTCTCATGCAGGTATGAGGCTCTGGAGACCCCAGGGTTCCTCTACATGGATGTCCTACCACCCCAGGCCACCACCTTCACACTGACTGGGCTGCAGCCTTCTACACGATACAGGGTCTGGCTGCTGGCCAGCAATGCCCTGGGGGACAGTGGACTAGCAGACAAAGGATCCCAGATCTCTATCACCACCCCAGGTGGGAAGGGACAGTCTTGGGCAGGTTGCAGAGTTCCTCAGAGGACTTAAAGGGTGGTACAGTGAAGTCAGTACTATTATACCACTTTTACAGATGAAGAAACTGAGGCCCACAGAGACTGAACATGTTGTCCAAGGTCACACAGCTGGAAGGAAGTAGAGATGAGACTGAAACCCAGGCAGATGATCTCCAGAGACTAGGTTTTATTCACTGAAATATACTGTCTGAATGCAATTAATGATACAAAAAATTTTAAAAAGTTTGAATCAAATGAAAATGAAAACATATGAAAATTATGGGGTACAGCTAAAGCAGTGCTTAGCAGAAAATTTATAGTGTTAAGTGCTCACATTAGATTTTTTAATAAGATTTTATTTATTTTAGAGAGAGGGGAAAGGAGAGAGAGAGAGAGATAAACAGCAACATAAGAGAGGAACACTTATTGGTTGCGTCTTGTGTGTGCCCCAACCAGAGACCAAACTGGCAACCCAGTCATATGCCCAACCAAAATGGAACATTTTGCTTTGCTTTGCAGAATGACACCCAACCAACTGAGCCACACCAGTCAGGGCTTAGATTTTTTTCTTAAAAAGGCCTCAAATTGACACTGAAAGTTTCCAGCTTAAGAAACTGGAAAAAGAAGAGCAAGTTAAACACAAAGTAAACAGAAGGAGGGAAATAATAAAGGTAAGAACAGAAATTGGTGAGCTCAAAAACAGAAAAACTAGAGAAAATTAAGGAAACAAAGTCACTTCTTTTCAAAGATCAATAACATTTATAGAGTTAATCAAGGCAAAAAAGAGAGAAGACACAAGTTAAGCAATATCAGGAATGAAAGAGGAGACATTATATTAAGGGAGTAATAAGAAAGTATTATAAACAAATTTAGGCCAATAAATTTAACATCTTTGATTAAATGGACAAGTTCTTTGAATATAACTAATGAGAGCATTTTGCTTCTGACAGGCCAATCAGTAGTGTAGTGGCTAATCACATAGAACCTTGTTCAGAGAAGCCTGGTTTGAAGTTCCAGCTCTGCTGAATCCTAGTTATGAGACCCTAGGCAAGTTACTTTATCTCTCTGAGCCTCAGTTAAACCTCTGTGAGCCACAGTTTCTAAAAATAAGATACGCCTTATTTTTCTAAAAGTAACGTCTATCTCAGACAGTTGTGAGGATTAAATGAATTAATATATCTAAAGTGTTTAGAACAGGGCTCTGTACAAAGTAAGTGCTATGTAAATACCAATTTTTAAGAAATGCTGTCTGCTCACTTTCATTCACTTAGTCCCATGAAAGCACCCTCTTTCTGTCTTTCCTTTTCTGGCAGAGCAGCCTTTCACCCATGGAAGTAAGGACACTTCCTCATTTCAACAATATTCCCTTCTCTCTCCACACTCCCAGATTTGAGCCTTCCCTTTAAGAACTAAAGCATAAAATATTACACTCACCTCCCTTGCTCTGGAACTTATACCTCTATTAAGGGATCCTGAGAGTAAGCACTTTTTTAGTTAACCTGAAAAGTTCACAATTCTGGTTAAAAGAAACTTGCATACCACAAAGCACTCATCAACAAGTAATTATTATTATTATTATTATTATTATTATTATTATAGACATTAGAATGACTATCAATAGTATTGCCATTCTTATCAGCAATTTGCAGGTCTTCTTGAAATATTTCAGCCCTGGCTGGAGTAGCTCAGTGGAATTGAGCGCGGGCTGCGAACCAAAGTGTCACAGGTTCGATTCCCAGTCAGGGCACATGCCTGGGTTGCAGCCCATGGTCCCCAGCAACCGCACATCGATGTTTCTCTCTCTTTCTCCCTCCCTTCCCTCTCTAAAAATAAATAAATAAAATCTTTAATATTAAAAAAAGAAATATTTCTGAGAAGCCATAAACTAGTTTTCTTGAGTCTCTAAATGGGATGCAAAGCTTAATAAAAGACTGAGAAGTATTTAAGGTTTATCCTAGAGTTTTTTATATTAATTCACAATTTCTTATCCACCCCCTAGGTCTAGACCAGCCTCCTGAAGAACCTGACTACCAGCTGCCCACAGAGCAGCCTGTAGGCAAGTCCTCAGTTCCCTGAAACCCCCTTTCTCCCCTGAGACTAGAACTTTCTTGTCTCTAACCATGCCTCCTCTGCTTCATGGACCCAGTCCCTGAAGACTTAGCTCTGTTCTGCAGGCCCTAACCCATTTCCTTCATTCTTCCTATTGCCTGGATATGACACATTTTCTCTCTTCTTAACATAGTTTAATTCTGAAAGAATTAGCTGATTTCATGCCCCATGCAGAGCCTGTATCAGTTGGTTTTGGCTGCATAACAAACTACCTTAAACGTTGGCACTTATAGCAACATTATTTCTCATGACTCTGAGTGGCTGAACAGTTCTGGTCTGGGCTGCAGTCAGGTGGCAGCTCAGCTGGGACTGGTTGGTCCAAGATGACCTCCTCTTCACATGTCTGACAATATGGCTCTTGATTGGGATGATGAAGATAACTGGGCCACATGTCTCCCCTTGGGTTGTTCACATGGAGGTGGTCACAGGAGTCCCAAGAGCAGCAAGAGAGGGCAAGTTCTGATTTATAAGCATCTTTCAAGCTTCTGATTCTGTCACATTTGCTATTGTCTCTGTGGCTAAGGCAAGTGATATAGCTCAACTCCAAGTCAGTATGAAAGGGGACTACTCAAGAATATGAATACATGGAGAAAATTATGACCATTTTCCCAACAATCCCCTTTCAGAGCCTAAGAAGTTTGCAAATGACAGAAATTTGGCTGTTCATGGCAATAAAGGGAATTGGCTGGCTCATGAAATTAAAAATTCCAAGTATGGCTGGGTTCAGGAACTTAAAAATTTCACCAAGGACCTATCTTTCACACTCTCTCAACTTTACTTTCTTCTGTGATGGCTTCCTTCTCAGGTTCTTTCATCAAGGTTACAAAGGAGTCTCACATACACCTCTAGTTTTCATTCTACTTCTTAGCAGCCTGCAGAGGAATGTCCTAAATGTTCTGGCAAAAATCCACCTTGGGTCAAACGCTGTCTCTAAACCAATCAATCACTATGAAAAAATGCTGTTTTTGGCCAGGCTGGGCCCATGTGTTCCTCCATGAGTCCTACAGAGCCATATAGACCGAGAGTGGGGAAGTGGCTATTTCATCAAAGGAAAGTGAGTGCTGTTAGTAGAAGATGGGGAATGAATGACGAACTGACATATACTTAGAGGCACTTAGTCTCAGGGATATAGCAGAGGAGTCTGATATTGTCTGGGATGTAAATTTGTGCAAAGAAGTCATTTGAGATGGAGTTAGATGGGTGAATGAAAGTTGAGAAGAAAGGACATTCAAGGACAGACACTTGACTATTTCAAGGCTTAGGGGTGTAGGTTTGCCTCAGTGATTCTGGAAACAGCATGGTTAGTTTGTATGGCTGGAGGGTCTAATACCAAAGTCTATGGTTGATGGGCAAGGCTGGAGACATTGAAAGAGGCCAGATCATAGGTCCTGAATACCCAGCTAAGGAGCTCAAGCTCCTGCCTGAGTTCCTACATGGGTCTCAGGCAAAGGTAGGACCCTCTATTGGTGGCTTGACTTGAGAAAGGAGCCTACCTGCCCTGAGGTAGCAAGGAGTGGACATAAAAATCCCCTGTTCATTTTCTTCCCTGACCTATGAAGAGGGGTTTTCCCTGGTCAGGGATAGACTTTCTTTGGGCCTAGAGCCAGTTGTTTTGAGCTCACTGAGGGGGCTACCTTCCATCCTCAGGCTTCTCGGAGCTGCCCCTGATGCCTGTACTATTCGCTGTTGGGGGTCTTCTGCTGCTTTCTAATGCTTCCTGTGTTGGGGGATTCCTCTGGCAGCGGAGACTGAGGCGTCTTGCTGAGGGTGAGGAGCCTTGTTCTGCTGGGATTGAGGTCCACAGGTGATGGGGAGCCCTGTGGCCACTTCATATTGAAGGTCTCTCAGGGCCAAGTGGGCTTGGGGGAGTCTCTGACCCCTTTTTTCCCACTTCCCTCAGGCATCTCAGAGAAGACAAAGGCAGAGTAAGTGGGTATATTTTTCTGTAAGAAAGGCTCTGAGGTTTGGGGGTAATGGGTATCTGAGGATCAATAACCAACTGCCCTCCATACCCCCATCCTGAAAGCTCAAAGGAGGACCGAATCAGGAATGACTATGAAGAAAGCCAGTGGACTGAAGACCTGGACAACCGAAGCTCCACGGTGAGTGAGGGTACTCCAGACAGTCTCATTGACAAGGAACTGACAGTGATTAAAATTCTATTAGCTTCAGGTTAATCATTGACCTTTCCAGGGAGTCAAAAGATGAAAAAGACTTTACTTGTTTTGGGGGGTGGGGGTTTTTACAGGTTAACACAAAAGATATGGAGCCATATTACCATTCCATGAAGGATTTCAGCCCCCAGCTGCTATCAACACTGGAGGAGGTATCTCGTCCTAGAGGTGAGGTGCGACTACATCAGAACTTCCCAACTCATAGACACCCCTGATATCTGGACTGGGTGCCCTGATCATCCCTTCTTTCCACTCCAACCTCAGGTTTCACAGGTCTTGAAGAGGAGAATTTGGTCTTTCCTGGGCACTTGTATGATGAGGTGGGAAGACTGAACACCCCATCTGGAACGTGGGGACCCCTCTATGATGAAGTACAGTTGGTGAGGAGATTTGTATCTGCAGAAGTCTTTCCTGGCCAGTGCCAGAAACCTACATCTTACTGCATATATTAGTTAGGGTAAGCTAGCTGCTATAACAAACCAGTTGTTTGTTATAGGCCTGGCCACAAACCAGTAACCTAAAGAAGACAGTCTATTTACTTTTCTCTCATAGTATTCAGAGGTGAGTGGCCCTGATGCAGGTGGTTATTACAGAATACAAGTTCTTTCCATTGCAGTTCTCTGCTATCCCCTAGCACATTGTCCAAGTTTGCGTGGATGGGCCATTTCACTGGGGTTTCAACCATTAGAAGGGGTAAAAAGAGAGCAATGCAGACACAATCCTGCTTTATGGGTTCAGGCCCAGAAATTACACATTCTACTCATTTCCCTGGTGAAAACATGGTCACATGGCCACATCTAACTGCAAAGGAGGCTGAGAAATGTAGCCTAGTTTGGGAGCTGTATGCCTCACTACAGTTAGATTACTGTGGAAGAAAAAAAGGTATGCATTTTGTTAGAAGTTAGCCATGTCAACTACACAGAGAAAATATTTTGGCTCATTCAATTGAAAAGTCAAAGTGTAGAATTGTCTTTGGGCCCACACAACTGGATGAAGAATTTCCTCCTTAAAGATGTCCCCAGAAAATCCAGGTTTGTATCCTATTAGTTGGGAACCTTCAAAGAAAGAGAATGCCTCTTTTCCAATAGTTCCAAAGTCCCAATGCTGACACTTACTGATCTAGCTCAGGTCACATACTCATCACTAAACTGCTGAGGCAGGGAATGGAATATGCTAATTAGACAGGTCTGGGTTACTGCCCACTCATGGCATCAGGGAGTAAGGACCAGCCCCACTCAATCCACTGTATTGAGAGTGGGAGAGGGTCAGAGAGCCCAGAGTCTAATGAACATAGTAGCAGGATAGGTAAAAACAATAGACAAGTACTTTGATCATCAACTAACCCCCATCAACTGCCCCACAGTAAGGGAAGTGGGGCAGAATATCTGACTTTTGGTGTAGCCTTGGCTAATGCTGGCACCTCTGGGCCAAAGATTTCCATCTCTAACATTGTGCCAGATGGGACACTATTCTCCCTATTAGGGTGGACATAAGGAGCATACAATGTTGTCCGTGGTGCTGAAGCACATGTGCCCTCTAAAGCACAGATACATTCTGCACACTTTTTCTGTAAAGAACCAGATATTCGATATTTTGGGCTTTGCAGGATATACTGTCCTCAAAACTACTAAACTTTGTTATTGTAGTGTAAAAGCAGCCATAGACAATACATAGGCAGATGAATGTGGCTAAATTCCAATAAACCTTTTTTGTGAACACTGACATTTGAATTTCATATATTATAAATATTATTCTTCTTTTGATACTTACCTTGCTATGAAAAAAAAGGAAAACCATTCTCATGTTTTGGACAGTACAAAAACAGGCTGAGGGCCATATTTGGTTCATGGCAAATCTGCTGTAAAATTTCCTGAGCCAAAACAACCATTTTCTCCCAAACCTAATGCAAGACACATCCTCAGTAAGGACCACCGTACATGGATTTTTTTCTTTTCTTTTTTGATAAGGAAATGTTTTGGTGATTCATAGGAATAACAGACTCATGACTCACATTCCACAATTCCCATAGCTGACATCATGGACTTTTAAAAGTTTCATATATCTGACATTCAAATTCTTTTTCTGACAGAAATTCATGAGATTTCTTGAGCTTGCTTAAAAATAATCCAGTTAATAGGGATAGAGGATGAGAATACAAAGATATAGATGAATCAAGATTGACTGAGAGTTGGTATTATTGAAGCTAAGTAATGGGTACATGAGGGTTTGTGATAAGAGTTCATTATAATCACTCCCTTCTTTCTTAAAATATGTGTTATTGATTGTGCTATTACAGTTGTCCCACTTTTTCCTCTCCTTTATTCCCTTCCACCTTGCACTCCACCCTTCCACCAGCATCCCTCGACATTAGTTAACATCCATGGATCATACATATAACTACTTTGACTTCTCCATTTCCCATGCTATTCTTAACCTTGCCCTGTCTATTTTGTACCTACCATTTATGCTTCCCATTCCCTGTACCTTTTCCCCCATTCTCCTCCTTCCCCCTCCTCACTGACAACCCTCCATGTGATCTCCATTTCTGTGATTCTGTTCCTGTTCTAGTTGTTTACTTTGTTTTTGTTTGGTTTTTTTGTAAGTTAAGATGTTGATAGTTTTGAGTTTATCATTTTACTGTTCATATTTTTGATCTTCTTTTTCTTAGATGAGTCCCTTTAACATTTCATATAATAAGGGCTTGGTGATGAACTCCTTTAACTTGACCTTATCTGGGAAGCACTTTACCTGCCCTCCCATTCTAAATGATAGCTTTGCTAGATAGAGTAATCTTGGATATAGGTCCTTGCTTTTCATGACTTTGAATACTTCTTTCCAGCCCCTTCTTGCCTGTAAGATTTCTTTTGAGAAATCAGCTGATAGTCTTCTGGGAACTCCTTTGTAGGTAACTATCTCCTTTCTTCTTGCTGCTTTTAAGATTCTCTCCTTATCTTTAATCTTGGGTAATATTGAGTAAAAATTGGGATGTTCCTTGGTGTGTGCTTCCTTGCCCAACTTCTTTGGGACTCACTGAGCTTCCTGGACTTCCTGGAAGTCTATCTACTTTGCCAGATTGGGGAAGTTTTCCTTCATTATGTTTTCAAATAAGTTTTCCATTTCTTGCTCTTCCTCTTCTCCTTCTGGCACCCCTATGATTCAGATGTTGGAACGTTTAAAGTTGTCCCTGAGGTTCCTAAGCCTCTCCTGATTGTCTTGAATTCTTGATTCTTCATTCTGTTCTGGTTGAATATTGATTTCTTCCTTCCAGTCCAAATCATTGATTTGAGTCCCAGTTTCCTTCCCATCACTGTTGGTCCCCTTTACATTTTCCTTATTCCACTTTGCATAGCCTTCACTTCTTCCTCTATTTTGTGACCATACTCAACCATTTCTGTGAGCATCCTGATTATCAGTGTTTTGAGCTATGCATCTAATAGGTTGGCTATCTCTTCGTCATTTAGTTCTATTTTTGGAACTTTGATCTGTCCTTTCATTTGGGCCATATTTTTTTTTTGTCTCGATATGGCTGTTACATTATAAGGGGCAAAGCCTTATGTATTTGTCAGGGTGGGGCAACCCATGTTGGCTTCATTATGATGCTGTATGTGTGGGAGGGGTCTGAGAGGGAACAATGCCACTTGCTTGGCTCTTGGCTGGCTTTTAGTCACTTCCCCTGCTACGCACAAGTAAGTTGGGCTTTTCTGGTGCTTATTCCTAGGTGGGTGGGTTTGTGTACATTCTAGGACCCTGTGGATCTCTCCATCGAACCCTCCTGTGAAACTGGGAGTTTCTCCTGCTGCCGCAACCCCCATAGCTTTTACAGTCAGAGATTTTAAGGCTTTATTTCCCTGCACTGTAACCCTGGGTTGCACAGTCTGTCTTGCTCCCCAGTTGTTCCTCCTGGTTTATTCATACACAAACGTGGGACCACCCCATCCACCAGCTGCCACCTCACTAACCCAGTCCTCCAGACACTAACCTGCTGTGAGTATTCTCTGCCCTGGCTGCCCTTCTTCACCCCTCCACCTCTCTGGGTAAATGTTTCTTCTTTAACTCCTTGGTTGTTGGACTTCCATACAGTTTGGTTTTCTGGCAGTTGTGGTTATTTTTTTTGTTTTTAAATTTGTTGTCTATCTTTTGGTTTTGCAAGGAAGCAAAGTGTATCTACCTATGCCTCCATCTTGGCTGGAAGTCTCTCATTTTTATATGTTGGGATTTACCCCCATAATTTGATAGTAAATTTTTTTTCCTCTGGGAAGGTGAATGTAATTATATATACCCCACAGCTGCAATGATGACTCACAGGGCATCTCTTTATGGTTCTAACTCCACCTTTGTTTGCCAGGGCCCCTGTGGCCTCTGCTGGCCTGAGGATGAATATGAGAATCCAAAAGGAATCTACAATCAGGTGGCAGGAGACGTGGACCCAGTGGAAATGGATTCTCTACCCTTTGAGCTGAGGGGACATCTGGTGTAACAGGATTCTCAACACTCTTTTCCTACACCTGCAGGACATAGCGTTTCAGTGGTCCTTTTCATTTTAGTCTGGGATGAGCTTGTTAAATGAGCTCTAAAAGACACAAAGGAACTGGACTTTTTCAGGAAAGGACATGGAGATATGTGTGTCAGTGACAAAAAAAGGATTCAAGCTGGTGTCAAAGTATAAACAAAGCTCCTCCTTGGGTCAGCTTTAGAAATTAAACTCCAAAGGGACACAATGAATTGTAAAAGACATTTTAATAATGAAAAGTTATTATGAGGGTTTTAATGTTTTTTCAGAAATATGAAAAGATATATTAAAAACAGTTCATTTAGAGTTTAACTACATCTGAAATAGCTAATAATAAGTGGAATTTATGGACTATTGTTGTATCCTACTTGTTTTATTATTTTCCAGTTATCTAAAATATGATGTATAAACTATGACACACTTGTAAACATAAATAGATGAAAATAGACTAAACACAAAAGAATATATATTGTGTGATTTCACTTACAGAAATTCTAAAATAGGTGAAGTTATCTATGATGAGCAGATCAGTGGTTGTCTGGAGCCATGAAAAGGGAATTGACTCTAAAAGGCCATGGGGGAATGTTTTTTGAGGGGGTGATAAAATGTTCCATATCATGAATGTGGTGGCAGTTACATGGGTGTATAGATTTGTCAAAGATCATTAAACTATGCAATTAAGATGAGTGCATTTTGTGGTACATACCTCAATACCTTGGTACCTCAGTAAAGGTGACTTTATAAACAGGCTCCATAGTAAAGCAGCACAGCAACATAAATTTTATTCTTTATATTGAATAGCAGAAAAAGATAACTGAGAGATCTATTTCCATGGGAGATGGACAAAATCTTTCTGTAGGGGGTCTTCACTCCTACTTTATTAATAATCTCATCAAAAACTGTCCTGGCCAGGCTGGTTCACTGAGTTGGAGTATCATCCCTTAACTGAAGAGTTGCGGATTTGATTCTGGATCAAGGTGCATACCTAGGTTGTGTGTTTGGTCTCCTGTCCAGGTGCATACTGGAGGCAACCAATTGATGCTTCTCTCTTGCATTAATGTTTCACTATCTCCCTTCCTGTCTCCCTCTAAAAAGCAATGAGAAAATGTCCTCAGGTGAGGAATAATAATGAGTATAATAGTAGTAATAATAATAATAATAAATCAAAACTGTTTGTTCAAATGCTTGTCCATATATTATTTTCATCACTACAGACCTAAAATAAGTTTACACCATTGCACTTGAATCAAATAATTTCCATTTAATTAAAAAATGATTCCATTCTGCTCTGGCTGCTGTGACTCAGTGGAATGAGTACTGGCCTGTGAACCAAAAGGTTGCTGGTTTGATTTCCACTCAGGGCACATGCCTGGGTTGCAGGCCAGGTCCCCAGTAGGGGGTGTATGAGAGGCAACCACACATTGATGTTTCTCTCCCTCTCTTTTTCCATCCCTTCCCCTCTCTAAAAATAAATAAATAAAATATTTTAAAAAATGATTCAATTTCCTCCCTGGCTGGTAGCTCAGTGGATTGAGCGTGGGCCTACAAACCAAAGGGTTGCTGGTTCAATTCCCTGTCAGGGCACATGCCTGGGTTGTGGCCCAGGTCCCCAGTAGGGGCACATGAGAAGCAACCACAACCACACATTGATGTTTCTCTCTATCTCTTTCTCCCTCCCTCCTCTCTAAAAATTAATAAATAAACAAAATCTTTTAAAAAATTATTCCATTCCTAAGAATAGAATTTTTCTAATTGTGCATTTTTCCTTTTCTAAGAAGAAACCTTAGACATTTTGTTTCCACATTGGTTTTTCAGGAAAGATGAATTTATTGGCTTTTCTAGCTGATATTCTCTGGGGAGTGTTAGCTTCAAGTACTGCTGGATCCAGTGTTTGAAAAAGCCATGAAGAGTCAATTGCTCTGTATCTCCTGTCCCTGTTTTTTTCTGTGTTGATTTCATTCTCAGGTAGACTCTTCATTTGGTAGACAAAAATGACCATTTACAGTTCTAGGCTGGTATTCCACAAGTTCAGCAGACAAAGTGCCTCTTATGCCAGTACTTCTGGAAAATTATGGGCCTCTCTTTCATCCTCCCAGCTTGGGTCTCATGCCCATCCCAGAACCAATTGTTGTGGCCAAGGAACAAAATATGCTGATAACAGGTCCTGGGTTGCTCTACCACATAAACCATTTGAGCAATGTGTTTGAAGGGAACTTCAGGCTGTGAGTGGATCTCTTTCTGTACTTCCTACTTTCTCTTTGACTGTCTAAATCAATATAGCAGATGTCTATTGCTTCTGTCTGCCCAGAATCTAGTTTCTCTTAATTTATATACATATTGTTGAATAAGCCCTGGCTGGTGTGGCTCAGTGGATTCAGCACCAGCCTATGAACTAAAGGGTCACTGGTTCGATTCCTGTCAGGGCACGTGCCTGGGTTGCGGTCCAGGTCCCTGGTTGAAGGTGTGCGAGAAGCAACCAGTCAATGTCTCTCCCACACATCAATATTTCTCTCTCTTTCTTTCTCCCTCCTCCCTGTCTATCTAAAAATAAATAATATCTTAAATTAATTAATTAATTAAAAATCTTTTTTTAAAAAAGATGCTCATATGTGGTGTTATCAATAATGTAGCAAAAGAGGCCATTGTTGTGGGTGTATAAAATAGTAACCCTGTCCTAGACTTCCCTAAATTTCCGTGGCTAAAACTAAGGTAAGACAGGTATGCAGACATATATGGAAGCATGCTAACCCCTGAAATATTTGTAACATCATACAACTGAAAACAACCCAAATGTCCATCAATGTAGTAATAATTTAGTAAATTAAAGTAATTAATTAAAATGGACTTGTGAATTATGTTTATTTACCTAGGCAGATGCCCATTATTATTTTTCAATTACAGATGACATTCAACATTATAGTAGTTTCAACATTATATTAGTACAACATAGTGATTAGACATTTATATAACTTATAAAGTGATCCCCTGATAAGTCTGACATCTCCTGACACAATACATAGTTATTATGATATTATGGACTCTTTTCTCTATTCTGTACCTAACATCCCCATGACTATTCTGTAACTACCAATTTATATTTCTTAATCTCTTCACCCAGCTCCCCAATCCTCCTCCCACCTGGCAACTATCAGTTTGTTCTCTGTATCTATAAGTTTGTTTCTGTCACAAACATAATATTGAATCTAAGAAGTCAGACACAAGAGAGAGCATTCCCTATGATTTCATTGGCTTAAAGTTAAAAATGGTCAAAAATAATTTGTGGTAGTAGAAGTCAAGAGTGGCCATCTTTGGTGTGGAGAGAAAGAGAGTGATTACAATGGGATACAAGGCTGCTAGAGGGCCAATAATGTTGTTTCTTGATTTGGGTGCTAGTTTCAACAGATGATGTTGTCACTTTCTGAAAATTTGTCTAACTGAACACTTGTAGTATGGGCAAATTTCTTTATGTGTTATACATCATTAAAATATTACATTGTATCTTGAGCTGGCATTAAATTATGATTTTCCAACATGATGATGAGCAGACTTTGACACTGTGTTGAAAAACAACAAACAACTTTCATTCTATTCATTCTATTTCAAACTATTTCATAGTTTCATTTTTTTCTTAAAAAAGTGTATTTTCAGGCTTCCAGTCAAGATAGAGGCATAGGTAAACATGCTTTGCCTCCTCATGCAGCCATGGAAAGAATTAAAAACAGACCTCAGAACAAATAACACCCAGAACCATCAGAAAATTGGGCTGTATGGAAATCAGACAACCAAGGATTTAAAGAAGCCATTTTCATCCAGATGGATAGTAGGGGCGGAGGGAGATGCAGAAGGGGCAGGGAGCCACAGAGATGAAGTATGGCACAGAGAGGCAGAGGCTGAATGGGCAGTCATACATTCATGTGTGGTGGATAAAAATGGGAAGGGATACCTTGGGAGCAAGGGATGCCAGCCCCAGGCCAGACCACACAGCCCAGGGTTCCAGTGCCAAGGAGATAAATCCCCATAACTTATGGCTATAAAAACCAGTAGGGGTTGGGACAGGGGAAGAAACTGCCAGATTGTCAGGACACTCCACTTAAAGGGCCCTCAAGAACTTAAAATATATGCAGGCCCACCCACTCTTGGATTCAGCACCAGAGCAATAGCTAGAAGGGTGCCAGTTGCACAGGACAAGTGCAGGACAAACCTCCAGAAGCCAGGAAGTGGCACTGTCCTCCCTCTGAGCCCTTCCCCCACACAAAGCCACAAAGTGGTGAAGTGGGTTGCCCCACCCTGGTGATTACCTAATGCTCCACTCCACATAATTTACAGGTATCTTTTCTATAAGAGGCCACACTACTAAGACAAGAAGTCAAAGCAACTCTACCTAATACACAAAAACAAACACAGGGAGGCTGCCTGTGTTGCTACTGTTCAAGGCCTGAGAAGTTGATGGTATTTGCACTGATGGAAGAATAGTCACGGAGCCATTGGGAGTGTGGCATGCCTTTATCTGGGGTGGACAAGCCACACACAGTGGAAGCCATGCATCCCCCTGTATGTCTCTGTGTGGCACACGTTGTGGCTCTTGTTCCCCAGCGTGGCACCCATCATGGCTCTCAGCAGGGAGTCCCTAGCTACTTTTAAATACTAGAATAAACAAGGCTGGCAAAAAGCCAGAAAAGTCTATATCAGAATAATTCTGCACATGTGAGTTCACTTCACATTATGAGAACAGGTTATCAGACTCAGTCTCAAGGCTATGAGAACACTATTTATCAGACCCTTCCAAGTCTATGGGAACACTATTTCCCTTAGTTACCCAGACACAAGGGTGAGGAAGCCAGACTGCTTCCACTTACCCTACAGTGCCAAACTGAGGAGTCAAAGAAATATGGTCCAAATGAAAGAACAGGAAAAAAAATGGAAAAAGAACTAAAAAAAAACAGAGATAACTCACCTATCACATGTAGAGTTCAAAATACTGATGGACAGGATGTTCAAATAAGTCACTGAGTATGGCAACAAAATAAAAAAGACCCAGGAAGAAATGAAAGTTACACTAAGTGAAATAAAGAAAAATCTACAGGGAGTCAACAGTGGAGGGGATCAAGCCTGAATTCACATCAACTATCTGGAACATGAGGAAGAAATAAGCATTCAACCAAAACAGCAAGAAGAAAAAAGAGTTCAGCTCTGGCTGGTGTGGCTCAGTGGATTGAGCACTGGCCTGCAAAACAAGGGGTCTCTGGTTTGATTTCCAGTCAGGGCACATGCCTGGGTGGTGGGCCAGGTCCCCAGTAGGGGACATGGGAGAGGCAACTGAACATTGATGTTTATCTCCTTTTTCTCCCTCCTTTCCCGTCTCTCTAAAAATAAATAAATAAAACCTTAAAAAAAATAATTCACTCCCCCCTCCCACTACTCCTTCCCCTAGAGTGCCACTTGGTCTGCACTACACTTGCTAGTTGGGCTGTCGTTCAGCCAGTAAGTCTGTTGTTTTCTTCCAGCACCATCATGATCATCTACTGGGACCTCATCAGTTATGGTGAGATGTTCTCTGATATCTACAAGATCCAGAGGTCACAGATGGTCTGTGTTTGGAGGTAGAGGAAAAGATGGTCGGTAGGACAGAGGTTAACATTGATGACTCACTTATTGGTGGAAATGCCTCTGCTGAAGGCCTGGAGGGTGAAGGAACCAAAAGCACGGTAATCACTGGTGTTGATATTTTCATGAACCATCATTTACAGGAAACCAGCTTCACAAAAAAGGCCTACAAGAAGTACATCAAAGATTACATGAAATCAATCAAAAGGAAACTTGAACAGAGACCAGATAGAATAAAAAGTTGTTTATGACAGGGGCTGCAGAACAAATCAACAAATCAAGTACATCTTTGATAATTTTAAAAACTACCAATTCTTTATTGGTGAAAACATGAATCCAGATGGCATGGTTGCTCTGCTGGACTACCATGAAGATGGTGTGACCCCATATATGATTTTCTTTAAGGAAGGTTTAGAAATGGAAAAATGTTAACAAATTTGGCAATTTGGACCTATCACCTGTCATCATAACTGGGTGCTGTTTTTCATCCACACACCAGGACTATGACAAATGGGACTGGAGTTATCTTGAGTTCTTCGTTTATTTTGACCTTGATTTA